GATGTCGAGCGTCCCCAAGCTCGTCTCGGGGGCGGAGGGATACCCCGACACACCCAAGGCCATTTTCATCGGCCTATCCGGCTTACCAAATTACTTCGCCTCAGGTCCCATACACTGGATTCCGGAGCAAAAGGTTGACATCCTTAGCAGGTGCCCAATCGTCGAGGGTTTAGTTATTGGCAATGTACTGCAAATATTCAGCCCCTATAGAGGCGATTATAAAGTTCCACCTACGCGAAGACACAGAAGGTGATACAGGTGATACAATTCAGCCACTGGGACCTCCTCGAGGCTGGGACTTTTATGTTGCAAACCGCGGACCATATGGAACACCGACACCTCACTGGTATCCACCGGCCTTTGAGTACTGGCTTCGACACCTGCGGTCACAGGTGCAAAAGGGGGACGAAATTACCTTCGAACCGGCCTAGCCAACGGATGCGAACGCGCCGGGTATAGTTTCGAGCTATCTTAAGCGTACCAGGTTCGTTGTTTCTAACCGTGTTGTTCTTGAAACAAGCGACGGACGATTTGGGCTCGGGCCGGCAACTACCAGAGAAGTTGATGCGGTATTCATTCTGAAAAATTGCTCGGTTCCTGTAGTTCTTCGGTATCGAACTCAAACGTCGAGGGGTGGGTTCGAGCTGGTTGGCGAGTGTTTCGTTGAGGGGATTATGGAGGGGGGATTTGAAGGGTTGCGGGAAACATCTCAGGAGATCAATATTTATTGAATTGGCTGGGGCGTTTCACGGCGGCGGCCATCAGCCCTTCTTTATTTTTAACGGTAAGTGTTTCTATGGAGGCCATGACGAATTGATTTTCGGCTTGAGAAATTTTGAGCTGAAGCACGCTCAGTCTTGCGGAGGCTACAGCATAAGTGAGCTACCAACCCCCGACGGCGACTGGCACCGACAGAACGGGGACTGAGTTCTAGGACGCGACATCGTTCGGGGCGGGTTCGAGATGGCGCTGCTCACCGCACATGTGTTATTTTCTTATTCTTCCGGTTGTCCAACAGGGGCGCGAGAAGCTTAAAAGGGGGAGGGGGCTGGGTTGCTTGCTTCTCGCAATTCACGCAGATCGTGATTGTATAGAGAACAGAGGGTTGCAAGACTGGCGATTGTGCACGAAACCCGCCGAGGCCATTGGCTGGAGGACAAGGGCAGATTGAAGGCTGCCACGACAGGAGAACATCTTGGATCGCGATATGCAAGTATAAAATCGAGATGAAAAGGAGTTGGGAATTCCTTGGATTTGTTCGGATAGCCCTGAACCCTCCTCCTAACATCTCTTCTTCCGTATTGACGTTCCCAAATCCTTGGGCCTGAGCCTTCTCTTCCAATTGTTTCCATCAGACGTTACATCAGTATCCTCATTTTCCAGGTCTGGAGAAGAGATCTTTCTAGCCATGAGCTCCAGCTTCTCAATCGCTTCCGGCGGGAATGCTCGTATTCCTTTTACAAGACCCAAGTATTCACTCCAAGGCCAGCCTGCGCGGCCGCTGTGGATGATTAACTTTTCAGTAACATCAGCGAAGAACCCTGCTTGCCTCTCATCCCAGTCAGGTGCTAGTGACGATTGAGCCATACGGCTGAAGAGCCTCCTCAAGGATGACGAGTCGAGGCCTACGACATTGCCGTTCACGAGTTCCCGGTTGGCTGTGAGCGTAAATTCTGCCCCGTTTTGGATGAATGCGTCGAGGGTTTCGAGATATGCTCGCTGGTAGCGTGTATTGTTGGGTAGCAAGTCTATGCTCAGCAAAAAGTCGATCCATGGTGTACTGAACGGCGGGCGGTCCGTGATAGTTTCTAGGGCGTAGAGCCGGTAGACCGCGATATTTGGGTTGGCCCCATGTTGAAGGAATTCTTTGATGACCCCAGATTCGAGGGCAAAGAGCAGACATCCTTCTGTAGTGAACTCCGCCTCTGTGCGCCTCTGGGGTGTCTGCGGAATTATGGCCGTGATGATATGTGGCCAGGGTGGCTTCGGGATCTGCAGTTTTAGCCCCCATTCCACGAAAAAAGGAGCCCGCCACACTTGATTCGGATTGTGTCCGTTTTCCAAAAGGCAACGAAGCAAATCCATAAAACCGCGTCTCCATATGAACTTTGGCAGCTTTCCGTAGTTTGGCTCTGTATTACCAATGGCAAACAAGAGAGGGTCGACGTCAAACTCGGCCAAGTAATCCCGATTCGATTGGATCCTCTTCCGGATGTAGGGGACGCACTTTGCCTCGAAAAGTTGCTTTTGAAACAAAAGTTTTGCAGAGAACTCTTCCTTGGGGAAACGATAATCCCTGGCTCCGCGGGGCCTGGTGTCCGAAGTCAAGTGGAGGTCAACCTCAAATGGTCGCGGAGGCTCGGAATCATATATCTCGAAGCATGACTCCAGATCATCAAATATGTCGTAAACTACGGTGTTTTTTGAAGTTGCGGTCAGGCTTGCAGTGGCTGCACCGTAGCTGAAAATGTCGTTCAGGATCCCCGTCACGTAGCCTTTTTTGGAATCATTGGGTATTCGTATGGATGTTTTGACAAGCGCAGCATGTGCCTTTAGAAGACACAGGCTCGCATCAAAGTTGGGTGGCGCTTTCGAGGATAGGAATTCCGCCATCTCGCGCGTCCGTAGAAAGTCTGTTACGGTGCGGTGGAGGTAGTTGACAACGCCGGATTGCTTGTCAACCTCAAGGAGGCCGCGACACCTCGCATTCAACCGTCTGCTCACATTCTCTCTGATATCCGATAGCTCAGACTGAGAGAAAGAGCCCAACTGGAAGACGTAGTTTTCGTCTTCGTACTCACGATCATGGAAGTCGAAAATAGCTGCCTCCAGTGGCTGTTTTGCTTCCGAGGCAATGATCAGTGATGTCGCCATCTTGTCGTGATAAAAGGGGTCCACAGTCTTGAGCATGTGTCTGAACACAGCCTCAAGCTCATCGGGGAAACTTTCCAATCGTTTCCGTAGATCGGCTATGCTGTCAGATTCCGTAAGGCCATCGCGGAGCATCTTGGTGACGAGGAAGACCCAGAGAAACACGCCATGAGCCCTCTCGGTGATTTCGGTGATGAACCATTCTTGTTCTTTTCGCATGTTCGCAACGGATTGCCACTTTCGATGCTCCATCAGCCGGCTATGAGCAAAGCGTCTGACATCGCCTTTTGTGAGTTCGTGGATGTATAGCTTTCGGGAGAGATCCGCCCCAAAACACTTCGTGAAGACATTCCAAGGCCGGCTAGACACACAGAGTTTGATGTGAGGTGACATTGAAAGTTCAGTCAGGGCTTCACACATTTCTAGATGGTCGCCGCAGTACTCGTCGAGCCCGTCTATGAAGAAGCAGAACTTGACCGAGAGAGTTTGGTGCTTGGAGATATGTTGCAGAATGTTGGTGAGCTCTTTGACCGACCATGGGATGTGAGAGAGGTGCTGTGGTGGCTCTTGCCTTGAATGGCGATCGCATGCTGATTCTATCAGCTCGGGACACTGTCGAAATATGTCGTAAACGAGTGTCTGAAGCAATCCCAACTGTGATTTCTGCATTGATGTTCCGGCAGCCCAGAAGAAGTGACTCGCCAGAATGCATCGTTTTGGATGAGCCCACTTGGAAAGCAGGGTTTTTGTTTGACCCTCTTCCATCAAGTATCTCATCAACGTCGACTTTCCAGAGCCTACCCTCCCGGATATCCAGAACAAGCCGCCAGTGCCACGTAGCCAGTCCCGCAATCGGCTTGGTCCGGCTGCTATGGGTATCTCATCGTAATCTGGAGGCTCGTACACCCACTTCATTGTCTTACTGTGGGGCTCCGAGATGGAAGTTTGCCGTTCGAGTCGGAGATCGAACCTCAAGCTTTTGAGAATGGCTTGGTCAATTGCGGCTGTGTTCATTGACAGGGACAGGTTTGACATTCGGTCGACGATTTCCATCACCTGAGGGATTGGCGTGGTTGCGGCCATTGATTTGGTTTGAGAGAGCTGGGCCAAGCTCCTCTCAATGTTATGGAGCTGCTTGGAGTGCTCAATACCCAGCCGGCTGGTCTCCCGCCAGAGTTGAGTCATTTGTTGTTCACAGGATGTGTGCCATTGACTATCAGAGGGTTAGCTCCAAGGGCCTGCGGGGATTGAGGCCCAGCCCGACGTACGCTGCCATTTTGCAGATCAGGAGGATGAGGGTGGTCTGGGAGTGGTGAAGCCTCTTCTCGAGTTCGGCTATTTCTCTCGTTTTGAGAAGTGATTTCAGAGCGAGTTTAAAGCTGCCCCAGCGGCGGCTCTTTCCTGGGTTACTTGGTAGCTTGAGCTGGTCGACGATTGCCAAAAGATGCTTGCAGTCGTCGTTGCAGGCGTGCGAGATCTGTTTCAACGCGACGATGTCTTGGTCGGGGAAGCCATTGTGCTGAGTTCCCTGTTCGAGGTTGGCGCTGAGTTCAGATAGCCGAGTATAGACGGTGGCGAGGCTGAGCGTGTCGGGAGGGCACCCGTCTGCTGCTGCGTGGATTTTGACGGCATTCGAAACGAGGTCTGCAGCGAAGCTGACGAACTGAACAGCTGCAGCCGCAATCCCGAGGGCAGCGATGGACTCCATTGCTGGTTTTAGGTCGGGGCAATTGATTGCAACGATTCGGTTTGCCGATGAGCCCAAAACCGAGAGCGATGGAAGTCGTGAGAGCTTCGGAAGGAGGAGCTGGGCAAGTCTTTGGTCTGCTGGCAGGCATCCAAGGTGGCTGGCCGAAATGGAGGGTAGCGCTATCCAATCGGAAGCAGCAACGGGGGCGCCCCCGATGCCCTCCGCCACAGCAGTTCAACCTCACCGATTTGATGGTCGTGACCCCTGCTGTGCTCGGTTCGTATCATCTTGGGCTTATCGCAGGCCCGATTCGGTTGCTTCTGTTGGCTGGTCGCCCCTGGCGAGTCACAGCAGCCCAAAAAAAAAAAACGCAAATGCCAAGAATGGCGATAAAAGAAAGAAGAAAAAAAGATCAATGATAGAGTTAAAAAGATGGTAGTGCCCAATAATAGGATTTAACTGTTGACCTTCGTATGACTTGATATCTCAGATGGAGATATTAGTACGACGCTCTAACCAGCTGAGCTAATGGGGCTTGAGTTGTTGGAGTCGTGGGCTGAAAATCCTGCTTGTGAATGCTCCGCTGGGGAGTTCCCAGGATCTGATATGAGAACCCAGTCCCTCAATCTCACATCGTAGTTCCACAATAACTAGATAGAAGTCAGCTGGCCGCAACGTTGGCGTCCGGCGTGGCGGGAATGTCTTTCTCAAATGCGCTCTGGAACTGAATAAGAAGGCATCGTCGTGCGGTCGGCCATGGCACAGAGTCCATGTGGTCTGCCGTTGAAGTTGAGATCGCCAAGGGGCATGGCTGCAAGAGGGGCGCCTGGGATTCGATGTTAGCAAGGTTATCAGATAACGCACCGACAAGCAACTCGCCAGCTGTGGCCGCAAAGCAGACCATATGACATTCTATAGGGCCTAGAATGATGTTCAGATTGTAGTCGTCCATAATCTTGTTCACGCCAAGGTCCCGCCCATACTTCTCAGCGTGTGCGATGTATCGCTCGTACTCTTCCTGTGAGACGTTGGTGTTGTGGCAGGTCTTGAGCATATCCTGATTAGATGTTCCTGCCGGGAGCTCCTTATCAGTGCGGTCCTTGTTAAATTGTATCAGTTCGCCGAGAGTTTCGGCCTTTAGCGTTTCGCAGAGCTTGAGATAGGCCATAAATTCTCCCTAGAAATCCATCTCTGCGTTTTAGGTTAGTTTAGCTTGATGCAAAACGAGCCGAACTAAACTCACCAAGTATCTTGAACAGGGCTACCTCTGAACAGCCCTTTGACTCCCACCTCGCCGCAAGGAGAGACAACCCAAATCCGCAGTCCATGGGGGTGCATGTTGCTCATTTTCTACGGCATATTCACGAAACTCAGGCCAAGGGTAACTGCGATATGGCTGAGATGGCAAATGACGCAATCTCGATAGCTCTGTTTGTTTTTACGCATCGAAACTTCTCCAAAGGTAAGCTATATGTATGCCTCTCTCGGTCTGGCGGCAAGGTCACCCTACTAATAAAATCCGGACCATCGCAGTGACAAACCCAGCCGAAATCTTCGAACGTGATTTATATGCTATTTGCAAGAGTTCCGCTGAATTGTACGTTTCGCAATACGAAAGGTGCCGCTTCGTCTTTCCCGATGGTCAGCAGTGCACCATGCGGCCGGCCAACGGGGCAGGTCACGACTGCCACAGATCCCACAATGAGCACATCGAGCCTGGAGCCTTTTACCTTCTCGCCCATAGCATCCGGGGAACTCTAAGGGCGACAGGATTCGCGATATTCGAGGACGTTTCATTCAATCGTATCAAGACATCTTGATCCCACCAGATGCCCACCATCATATTGCAACCGCCGAACAGAGGCTCAGCGGGCAACATGAATGGATACACCTTACCTACCACGACAAGTGGAAGATGATCAAGACCAACAAAACTTGTCTCAGCTGTCTACAAGAGATACCTGACCATGTTCTCACTTGCGGGCACTCATACTGCCCCCGTTGTGTTCAGGAGCTGGGCCACATCTCACCACATTTCGAGTGCGCTTGGAACGTCCAGTGCTGGTTGTGCTATGAGGAGAAGGTCCGCAACTTACACCTGGTGCAACTAAAACCGCACTGCTCAGGTAATCGAATACTGGCGCTGTATAGGGGCAGAGTACGCGGCATCGTTGAGCTTCTGGTCCTCCAGGCGCTACAGGACGCAGCGGGGCTAGAACCATTGCCTTTGAAATCTCTCTTTGATCTCATCGTAGGCACTTCTACAAGTAAGCACCACAAATAACTTTTGTGCCAGACCACGTCTGACGAAGTATTTGCAGGAGGGATCATTGCACTCGCTCTAGCAATGTCGACAAAAGGCAGCGAATCGCTTCCCGAGATGATGGCCTTCTTCAACAAGGCCTCCAATAACACGTTTGCACAAAGCGCACTTGAGAAGATAATACAGTAGGGCAAGATTGTTGCGCAGATGCGGGACAGCACCTTCGGCGCCAAGGGTCTCCGGCAGCCCTGCAGGATACTTCCAACCCAAAGACACGGCCCCTCTTCGCCCCGGCGCTCCACACTCAGCCCATGTCGTCAGGAACGCGCGTTGCGGTGACATCTGCCAAGATGAGGGCAGGAAGGCTTGCCTTATCGCAAGTTATAACCACTCCTCGCCCACCGAAGGTAGCGCCTATCTGGAGCGGGAAAAGGACGCCGAGAAGGACATGAAAATTTGGGAAGCCGCCATGGCCACCTCAGCGGTGACGTACTACCTCCCTTGTTTTGAAAAGCCAGAGCAGACGACAAGCTATGTTGATGGAGCCGTATGGACCAACTGCCCGGCGCAAGTCGCGTACGCCGAAATGGAGAAGCTCTGGCCTGGTGATCCAGCCTCGCTTGATGCGCTTATGTCGCTAGGGACTGGGATGCAAGATGTCAAGCCTTTCGAGATGCCAGCGCTTGTCAACATGGGATTCCTCGCCGCCATTCGCGCAGTTTTGAAACGGCAAATGGACTCCAAGGCTACCTGGTTGAACTTTGTCACGGAGACGGCCCTCCCCCTCCATCTTACATCGCCGGGGCCTCCGCCCTCGCACACACATCCAAACCGTCGCAAGAGCCGAGATGATGTCGAATATGATTTTAGCTACTATCCCTGAAATCTCCAGCTGCGTGAGATTTTCCTTTGCCTGTTGCACCGGTCGCACTTTTTTTCACTGCTACCACCGTGGTTACCACCTCGGCCACCAACTCCACTCGATCCGAGGTCGTCGCTTTGGCCCCGATGTTTCCATCTTGACTCCGAGTAACTTGAGCGGTACTCACAATCGGTTCTATCAAGAAAGTCTGACGGGCCGTGACATCATCTTCCACAACTATTCAGAGAGGTTGCGATGCTGGGAACATCTATCCTCTATTCATGCGGATAACTATCGCTAGATAGAATCGGTGCCAAAAACCTCAATCAACCGGTCGCGACAGTTTGCACCGCTCTTGACATTATCTGTCCGCGCTCATCGCTTTTCTGGTCTTTTAAGGTTGTGTGTTGGCATAGCGGCAACCGGGTTAGGGCTTGATCATCTCGCGAAAACTGAACTAGTTTTGGCTGTTGTTCGCGAAAGGGGGTGACTTTGTGTCAGAAAGTAGGGGCCCCGGCCGAAGGTCGGAATGGCCAGAAAAGAGGTGTGGCCAACTGAGCTGAAATGGAGCTTAGGGGAGCTGAACTGACGTAGTTAGTTAGTTCAGCTGGCCATGGCCACGGTTTGCCACCACTGTTGCCGCCAAGCAGTATCATAATAAGGGGCTCTCTGGCTCTGCCAGAGAGCCGGAGAATAAAGAAGCACTTCAATCAAGCAGTTGCAACCCCCATTAATCCCACAAGATTCCAGTGTGCAGTGTTTCTGACAGTATCTTTGCAAAACGAGCACCTTCTCTAGGATGGGGAAGAGTGGCCGTTCCGCGCCAGGACCTCCCACTTTCGATTCTAATCCCGCGCTTTCGATCAGGGCTCGGTCCTACTCACCATGACTTCACCCCTCCGGTGCTCCTCCCACCAGCGCACCTCAAGTTTCGCTCTGGCCTTATCGGCCTTCTTCATCGTCCTGTGTCGCTCCAAGTCGTCCTAGGTGCGTCTGTGCCATCTCCACTGCTCTCCGTTGCCCCCCGAACGCCGTTAGCCTGCCGTTTGCCCCGGCGTGCACTCGCACCGCTGCGACTCTTTGCATTCGAACATCATCTCGGGGCCGGCGAAATGCATGATGCGGGTCGAAAGAAGCCTCTCTTGTGCGGAGCGGGTCAACCCTTTCCGCCTCATCTGCAACAATTGATTGTCTGCGTATACCAGTAGATTCTGCAAGCTCGATAGAATACTGATGGGGACATTCGTCCAGAAACCATTCGGACTGGATAGGCCCGTAGTCGCGGTGGATTCGCTCCAACTCGTCATCATCGTCAGACTCTGGAGACGTGTCCGTACGGCTGACGTGCATCACGGTTGAGTCCAGGTACAGCGTCTCTTCAGCCACGGCCCGGTACGAGAATATCTCTCCCGTACTGCCACGTGCGGTAGAGGCTCGGCTGTCGCAAGGCCCTCAACTTTGGCGCCGCCAGAAGGCACTGGCGAGGTTGGAAAATTGAGCGTATTATGGTGATTTCTCCCGGTAGCGGAGAGGTGTCCATTTGGGAAGCTCTGAGTTCGTGATAGGTACTTTTTATTTGTTGCAGAGATAAATGACCCCTGCAATTGCGCCGACCTCGAGGAGCACCCCGACAAGTATGCCTGGGACGTTTACGTAAGGCTGCTGATGTCCGTCGGACGTACTGCTGTCGTGATGTTCACCTCCTGAGGCATCAGCCGGGCCCAGCGTGCAGATGGTATCCCTCCAGACTGCTGGTTTGAAGGTGTTTTGCTCCGAAGACGAACAATTCCGCGACAGGCATCCTTCTGCCGCATCGACGGTCACTCGGCGCGGCAGCGCGCAAAAGCAGTTCCTCGTCCGAGTGCGACATCCCTGCGAGGCCAGCCAGAAGAAGACGCAGTCGTGGATGCAGGCAGGCACGCCCGACGCGGCGATGACGGGGGCGGTCCTGCCGGCCTTTCCGCAAACGCCTGCAAACCAGTCTTCCAGTTCGAACCAGCAGTTATCCTCGTCCGAGGGGCCGCTCGGCGCGCAGGCGAGGGGCGTAACCGCGGTAGAGCAAAAACAGTCGGTTGTCAGGTTGGCCTCCAAGCAGCCGAGTCGGGACGGACTCAGTTGGCGGGAGGTGATGCAGTTTGCCGCCGCGCACTCGGGAAATCCGCCGAGATCGACGTAGTAGTTACGGTATTTCTGGGCGTCGCAGATTTCGGCCACTATTGTCAGAAAAATCATCCTTATCATCAGCCATGCGACAGATGCGACCTGCCGGTGGCCCTTGGGATCATCCATTTCGTCGAGAATCATGCGGGTCAAGGTGGCAGGACGGTTTTGGGAATTATTACGTGCTGCTTTGGAGTATTTACACGTCAACGGGTTATCAGGCTCTGTAGAGCTCCCGGTATCTGCTAGC